ACACCCTCTGTCAAATTGTCACACCCACATTGAGGATGCTTCCTACGCCCATGGTGTAGCCCCATCCACGGCTAACGTTTCCAAGTCAAGTATTATGTATGGTAGCAGCAACACACGGAGTTAACTCAATTATANAAATCAGTCCACATGGATAGGAAACTAAATACTTTTGCACATATCTTGTGTCCAATATGCTTTCTGTTTTGGTGGTCATGCCACAACCGTGCACGTGAATGCATGCACGAGTCATGGTAAAATATCCGGATTAAGAGGTTGCTTTTTCTTTGCACGGCATGAAAGAAAGGCCAAATGAATGGGGTGTGATTTTAGTATTTTTAAGCAGAGGTCAATAATTTGTACGGCCCTCGGAGGATGTTGAAAAAATTGAAATGGCCCTTGAGAGGAAAAAGGTTCCCCACCCCTGGATTAGAGGTAACTGAGTTATTTATTTAGTTAAAGGGAGGGGGGAGCTCCAACAAGCCGTTTAGGACAGAGAGTGAATACACATACTATAAAGAGATGCTGTATGAGAAACCAATGCGATTTTGGAAAATTGCACAATATAAATATATTTTAGTATACCTCAACAATGGAATTATGATCAGTAGAAATGGCCATGACATGGGACCTTTAAAAATATGTAAGAATTACTCCGTCACATAAATACAGCAACCCAAAGTCACAGCTTTCATCATGAAAGATGATTTTATAAAAACGTATATTTTTGGATCAGACATCCTAGTTTACAAGTATTTATATTTAGCACTTTCACAATAGCCTGTCAGAAAATACATTAATAAATACATGCTACTAAAACAGCTTTAAAAACAGTTATGCCTCATTCATTACCAAGATGATATACTCTGAAACCAACTCATCCTAAACACTCTCAGCCTCCTCGCAATTAGCTCCATGATTGTGTGCTTGTTGCAGGTCGTCAGGCGCTTTCTGTTAGCCTTTAACTCATGCTTTAACTCAATACTCACAAAACACACAAAACACACACACACACACACAATGATGCAACTGTGTATCAAACAGTCTGTCTAACAACATGGAGGACACAACGTTGTAACGTGTCTTGTGACATGAGGAGATATCAGGGAAATAATCCCCTGGGTTTCCTACTGGATCACAAAAAGTTGTGCGCATGTTTTGTTTTGTTGTAGCTACTTGTGAAGAAGCTAAGTGGCTAAAAGGCACCAGAGTTAGCAGAAAGCTAGTTAGTAACGTTAGCTTAACTTACGTGCAGCAGCTCCGGAAGTTTGAGAGATAGTTCGGGATGAAAAGTTGAGAAGTCTCTAACCCCTGGAGGAATCCTGGAGAAAGTATTGCTGGTGTTGAATGAAATGAAGGAGGTTTGGTGCCTGAGGTCTGCAGACTGACAGGATGGATGAAAGACCACTGTACCCACGTGGGAGTCGGTCGAATGTGTACGCATGCGCAGTAGTTACCTACTGACTTTACTAAGTGTGAAGTTTGTAGTTGTCTAACAAGCGTGGAATAAGTGTGTCGACGATATTTTGAATGTGATTCATGTTTTTAATTCTGATTAATTACAATATTGTAGTTTTACTAAAAACAATGTGCTGGTATTTATATGTTTAAGGTCCATCAGGAGTTTATTCTGAACAGCAGAGGGAGAATTTAGATATTCATGATGGGAAATAAAATGGCACTGCTTTATTTTACATGTGAACATATTATTACAGACAACGCTAGCAAAGACGACACAATAGTTTGTAAATTTCATAAAACATAAAAAAATATACCACAACTTATGAAGTGATAAAACTTTTCTTAGATCAATTATTTTTTTGGTGTTTTAGGAGTGTTTGAAGAGTGGGGGCCAGTTGGACTAATAACTTCAATATGTATCAAGTCCTTTTTACAGGCCTAATGATACTGAAAGCCATATTTCACATCGAGTGCTGATTCCAGATTTCAGTTCTGAATATGTCAACATAAAAAAAAGGCAATAACAGCTAATTAAAGATATTTTTGTTTCTACCTGTGATAAATGATTTCAGAGATATGTAAAAATATCTGCAGTATGCGCACACAGCGTGCTTCGGGGTGATTAAAGTGTTGAAAGAACAGAAGGAAAGCACTCCCACACATTGAAGAGTCACAAGCTGCAGTCTTAGATATATTTAATAAATTAAAGCCAAGGTACAAAAAAAAACAATGTACATTTCATACCCCCCCTCCCCTTCTTCATCCACTTCTCTTTCTTTCAACTATGACAGTGTTTTAGTATCCTAACTCAGAATGACAACACAATACAGACCGAGGATCGTCCAATTATTCTCCTTTTAAATTAGACTGAGGCGCGACGCTCACTCCGGAGCCGAGTCCTGCCTCGGGTCTTTCTGCAGCGTCTTACACACTGGATATGTTTGTCCCCCTGAACCCCGAAACCCCCCACGAAACACACACACATGCTACATGTCTGCAGGCACCTCGGATAAGACAGAAGGATTAGTCTGAGATAAAGTTTAGCAGAGACCACAAGGTACATTTGGACGCTGAGTGTTATTAGATATCAACTGGTCCTGCTGATTCACTAAACAGTGTATTCTACAGCCGTCACATGACTTCACCGATGATGTCTCTGGCATAATGGATGAGCACAGAATGTCAGTGTTATTTCTTGTTGCAAATGCAGAATAACTTTCTCAGAGATGTTACGGTGTGATACTGAACTCTAATCCTTCTTGGTCCTCTCCAAGGCAGTGACCCGATGGATGAATGACTTTTGAGTATTTGCTGTCAATAACAGATAGATGGATAGATGAATCTGCTCAATGATTATCACTGGCTGGTCATTCCAGATGATAAGGAGGTTTGAATAGATGGCTGTGATTGCAGGTGAGCAGCAGAGGTGAGATAATGGACGTGTCTGATCAGTCTCTAAGAAAAGAGTAGTTTAAATGAGTGTGGTTTGAAGAAATGAACCAGCTCTTTGTTAAAAAGACAGGAGGAAGTAATGGATGTGTACTGTAGGTCCAATATAAGTGCACTAAACAAGTGGAAAAAGATACATCTGTGCACACGCAACCTCTCATACGTACGGGTATGAACACACGCACACACTCACATACACAGAAGTGTTCGGCAATAACTGTTAATATGCACACCTTGATTAATATTTTTGCACGATTACAGTGACTAAGCAGTCCTTCGCCAGGATTATAAATCCCTCCAAACACTCAGTTCCCTTCTCAGTTTCTATCTCCTGCCTCCTTTCACTGCCAGCTACTTTAGATCCATTTTCCCTCTAGCCTTCGCTGTAGGCAGTCCTGCTTTATCTAAGGGACCAATGCATAGAAACCTTTCTACGATGCGAGGAGACTGCAGTTTGACTGGGTGGGGCTGAGGTACATGAGGTACAGCCCTGGTTACAGAGGACAGGGTGGGAAAGCAGACCGTTTATAGTCCAGTGATGCTTTTGTATAGCTCTTTCTGTACTCTCCATTAAAGGCATATATAACAAACAGGGAAAAGGACAGATTCACAATGATAATTTGGCAAATGCAGAGATCACAGGGGGATGGTTGGGAGTACATATTGTGTTCATGTCATCCTGCAGAATCCCCTACTGGCATTGGTCCTTTTCTCTTCCCATTAGCAGCAGCAGGACTGACAACCACCATCTTTCTATATGTGTTTACATATACATTTATATAATTCATTTGATTTATTTCTGAAAAATAATGTCAAGTAGCTACGTACGATACCACTACCAATTTCATATGGATGCTAATCACCAGGAAACAACCTAGGAACCACAGGAAGATCTAGAAAGGCAGAACAAGACAGAGATAGAGGAGGCAGCATGCTGGGGGTGCTGCTCGAAGCTCTTCCAAAGAAATCAGAGGAGAGAGAAACAATCAATCTTATAACAGAAAAAAATCTGAGCAGAGAGACCAGCCTCCCTAAAGCCACCGGGGATTTAATGTGTGTCCATTAATCCGATGGCAGGTCCGTGCTGGATTGGTTCTATGTCTTGTCCTGCAGCAGGGCGGGTTTTTCTTTACAATCATTCAATGATTTTTGAGAGCTGTGTTGTTGTGGCATCCAGCTGTTTGGCGCTGAGGGGCAGAGGTCACGGTTTGGTGAGAGTTCAAGGGTAGAGTTTCAGTATTCAGCGGCGTACTCTGTACCGTGGAGCCCTCTGCACAGTAGTGTGAACTCCTTCACTATGTCCTTCATCCTCCTCTTGTTCACTCGCTCTCTGCAGGACAGGGGGGGGCAGTAAAGAGAGGGGCACATATACACAATTAGATTATGCAAAAAGTAATGTGGGTGACCAACTGGTTTGTGTCATTATCCAATAGAGTGCCTCAGGAAGGAGCGTAGAGTAAAGGTTCCTATGTCTCGAAGTTAATTGAGTACATCTTTTGAATATATATATATATATATTAGGGCCGGGACTTTAACGCGTTAATTAAGATTAATTAATTACACAAAAATTAACGCAAAGTCCCGGCCCTAATATATATATATATATATTCAAAAGATGTACTCAATTAACTTCNACAAAAAACACCTTGAATTTCAGGCAGGGCGCGGGGCTCCGTTGGCAGGGCGCAGCGCCCCGCCAAGACAATGGTAGGGGAAACACTGGTTTGTATTACAAGATGTGTTTCTTCTCGTCTATGAACAGATGATTAGTCTTCGGAAAGCCTGTTTGAGTGTGTAAAGAGAATATGTCTTGTTATTTTCCAAACCCAAGACAGTTGTTTTCCTCTCCTCAGGATGAAATAATGTCGTTTGAGACGGATAAGCAGGCGGTGTATCTGCAGGTCTACAGGCCGGTATATTTCCAGCTGGTGGATGTTCTGCTACACAAAGCCCAGTTCCCCACGGACCAGGAGTACGATTCCTGGTCGTCGGATGAGAAAGAGCAATTCAGGATCTATAGGTGTGTATTTGTACATGTGTAGGCCTGACGTGTTATACTGTGTTCTTCTGTGCATGCTCATTTCTGCTTCACACTGTTTCGCAAGAGCGTTTCAGTGACAGTTGTAAGCGTTTTAGAAATGACTGGATGATTGGTCAGCATGAGTGTGTTTTGCTCTAATAGACTCTCATTGCAGCTGAGAGGGCAAAACCTGCGTGTCAGATAGATTAACAAATAATAATCTGAGGTTACATACTTCTAAAACGTGTGTGTGTTCTCAGGGTGGATATCTCAGACACACTCATGTACGTGTACGAGATGCTGGGAGCGGAGCTGCTGAGTAACCTGTATGAAAAACTAGGAAGACTGTTGACTAATACCGAGCAGCCCACTTCATGGCAGGTGGGTGACACATACACACACCAGAAAAGAGATAAAGAGAACTATTTTCAGCTTCTTTGTTGCACTCAATCCAGTACTGAAATGTGTCATAGCAGATTTGTTACGACAGTACTTTGTTTTTCTATTTTTCACATTACTATATTTATTTTTGTTTGCAAGTCCACTTCATCAATTCAAATAAACCTAAGTGAAGAGTTTATTTACAGGATTCAAATATGTGGATTTTCGGTTATTTTCCATTTCTGCTGTATCTTTTTTTTATAACTCAAACTCATTTTTCAGTTAAAAACAAACTAACCTTCCCCTCCTCCTCCTCCTCCTCCTCCTCCTCCTCCTCCTCCTCCAGCACACAGAGGCCTTACTCTATGGCTTCCAGTCGATAGCGGAGACGATAGATGTGAATTACTCTGACGTCATCCCCGGCCTGATAGGACTCATCCCCAGAATCAGCATCAACAACGTGCAGCTAGCAGACACAGTGATGTTCACTATAGGTGAGATTAAAAGGATCCCAGCACATGTTATAAAAGTCAAATTGATTTTTAAAAAAAGTGTATTTTCTGTACAGGGACACAAATATTCTTATTTAGTACCCAAACTTGTGATCTGTGATCTCCTCTAGGTGCGCTGGCTGAATGGTTGGCAGACCACCCGGTGATGCTCAGCAGTGTCTTGCCCTTGGTACTACAGGCTTTAGGGAACCCAGACCTTTCTGTCTCATCTGTCTCGACACTGAAGAAGATTTGTAGGGAGTGCAAATACGACCTTCCGCCCTACGCAACAAACATAGTAGCTGTCTCTCAGGTACTTGTATATCTATTTTTAATATATTTTCTTTACCCAGTTCATCAAAAATGAGAGCCAATTGCTGCTTTTGCAGACTTTTTCTTATGTAATCCTGCTTTCCAGAAATAACATTCACTCTTTGAAATTACTTCAGTGGTATTAGTTAATTTTTACATCTAATTTTGGCTTTGTTGTGCTTTCAAAATGATTGAACTGTCACACTGACTTTCTCTTTTCTATCAAGGAGGTGCTTATAAAGCAGATCCACAAGGTGAGTGTGTTCTCTCACATTCACTTTCTTCTTTGTAAGAATTGTGTTACATGTTTCCAGCCTGTAGTTTAAAGTACACATGTTATGTGTTGTGAAATCACTTCAAAAGGTGTGTCTGGATGGCTTGAAGTGGGGTTGTCTTTGGTACTTATTCAAAGTCAGTGAATTACCGACGGTAGATGGCCTCACTTCAAAACATCTGAACGATCCCAATTAGCTCACGGCCTCCTTGAAGTGAAGGTTAACCTGCGATCATGTTTTCTCGCAGACGAGTCAGTGTATGTGGCTGATGCAGGCGCTCGGCTTCCTGCTCTCCGCTCTCCCTGTGGAAGACATCCTGAAAAACCTGCACTCTCTCATCACCCCCTACATTCAGCAACTGGAGAAGCTAGCAGATGAGACGGTGCGTACACTGAACAACATGTAACAGCACTCACACACAAACACTGAGTTAGCCCAGCTGGACTCTGGCCAATAGGAACAGAACTTGTTTCTGTTTGGTGACACTGCAGTGGAACATTTCTCTGCGGGACCAGATTGGATTTGACCCTGCACCATGGGCTAGTGACTCACATGGAAGAAGTGAAGACACACTTTCTCTCACACACACGCACACAGCACAGCAGGGAAGACTATTTGAACTCAGAAAAAACAGACACACTTACAGTAGGTCATTTTTACACGTGCATGCACCAAGACATGCAAAAGAAAATGCTTTACCCTTTTCTAAATGTCAGTTCTACTACAGCCACATCTCTGGATGGTTCGGATGTGGAGCTAATATTATCTAAAAATACACAGTTTTGATATATTGTTATAAAAATAATTTCTCCTTATCCCTTGTTCTGACATCAGTAAAGACTTCAGGCGGGGTGGACATGGATGTCAGCTTAGATGAAGCTTCTCTAATTGTGTCGGTCCCTGACACACACACACACACACACACACACACACACACACACACACACACACACACACACACACACACACACACACACACACACACACACACACTGTCTCAACCATCCTTGCAGACTTCCTCCCTCTTATTGTTTATTGTCTAGATCTGTTATGTATTGGCATTACATCAGACTAGGAAATCAGGTGCCGTGTCTCTGGAGGCAAACAAATAGTGGCACCTAGTGGCGGAGACCCTCGGGTTACATTACATCATGGGGGGAATGACCGGGCCTGCCTGCAAACACAGATGAAGTCACTCTAAATTTGCACACACTGTTCTTGTTTTAGAGCGAATGTACAGGAACAGCATCAGCATTGTAAGGAGAGATGTTGATGTAAGAGTCCTGTTCGTAGTCTTTTGGCTCTGTGACATCACCATGGAGACAGAGCAGTGATTTAAAGACTGCTAGTGAAAACCTAATTAACCTGAGGTGTCACTGAATGTCATCGCTGGTATGACAATGAGCAATTACCTTCTTTCTGTCACATTGTTGAAACAGCTGCCTGGTGACTGCTGGTTTTCGAGTGAAAGCAAAGATTTTCTAGAACAAATTGACAATTCCAATAATCAGTTTCTTTTGTTCTTGTTGCAGCCCAATCCCTCCAATAAATTGGCAATCATCCACATCTTGGGGCTGCTTTCCAACCTCTTCACTACGCTCGACATCAGCAAGCAGGACGATGAGTCAGCAGACGGCTCAGCACCAGCTGTCAAAACTGCCCCTCCTCCACCAGGACCAAACCCAGTCAGTAATCACACTCCTTCATCATTGTCATCGTCGTGTCATCGTCAGGCTGAATCTATGGATGATAGATATTTACCTTAGGTTTAATTAAAAGTAGCAATAGAACTTGTTTTCTTTAACTTATGATGATAATAATAATTTAGTTGATGTTGAATTCACAATGATTCAGGGCTGTGTAATTATAACAACACCTAGGTTTGGATTGGTTCCCTATGACCTCCCTTTCATTATGCCACTCTGTCTCCCACTGGGTATGAATGAAGGATTTACGGCAAAAAGCCCTTGAAAACAAATTGCAGTACGCCCTGTTCCGATGAAAGTAGCTAGATGAAGTCATACATTTCCTCCGGGACGTTGACAAGTTGTCTTTTGCCGCTTTAAAGGCTTCGTAATCCAGCACACTGCAGTTTGATAGTGATGGAATGCAGTGGTGCACGTGCTGCTCGGAGCAATGTGAGCGCCTCCCCCCAGTTTCGCTGGTTAGAGGGATGACGGTGCTTTCTCACTCAACCATAGTCTTAAGTCATTCTGCTGATAGGCATGCACTCATGTGTAAATGCTAAACGCTACTACTTATTGAGGACTGTCTTTTCCTTCCTGTTAAAGCGTTTTACTTTGTGTTTTCAGGTGGTGGTGGTTTTGCAACAGGTGTTTGCCCTCATACAGACGGTACTCGGTAAGTGGCTGAACGACTCGCAGGTCGTAGAGGTGAGTCTTCGTCACGTGCATCCACGTACTGGCAGAACTCTGTTTGTATTTTGTTCTTTGAAATAAATCCGCCCACATAATAAGATATGACATTTCAGTAAAGCCGATCTCATGTTGTCCCTCAGGCGGTGTGTGCCATTTTTGAGAAGTCAGTGAAGACTCTTCTCCACGACTTTGCTCCCATGGTGTCTCAGCTCAGTGAGATGCTCGGGCAGATGTACAGTACCATTCCCCAGGCCCCAGCCCTCGACCTCACACGACAGGTACACACACACACACACACACACACACACACACACACACACACACACACACACACACACACACACACACACACACACACACACACACACACACACACACACACAGAGATAATCAGCTAAGCGCCAGTCAGCCCAAGGTTAATGAGGATACAGTATAAAACTTCATTCACAGTTACAGTATGTATTGTTGACAGTCCTCTCCAGCATCATTGGTTTGTCCACATAATCTACACTGGAAGATGTAATGTGAGGGAAACCTTATTTCTTGTACACATGGATTGTAGCTCATGATCTTTGGATTCAGATTAATTCAATCAAAAGTCCAAACTGGAACTGGAAATGATGTTTGAAAAAATACATAATAATAAATCTGTTTCCACAGCTGAACAAGAACCTTATCTGTCAATTCAGACACAAAAAACTGGGCACTCACTTCAGAGCTTGTTCTCTCACTGTGCCTTCAGTCCAAACACTCTGACAATAAAAACTTTGCAGGGTGCAGAATTTAGATTTCTGAATCACCAATGCTCTCGAAACATATTCAACAAGAAGGCAATCCTGCCAGTTTAAAATACGAGTTACAAAGAAAACAGTGATTATTTAACCACTGCAATACTTGAATGATTGTAAATGAATTGTGGAGTGCCTTCTTCTACAGCTGTTTAGTACTTGACATATTTGATCTACAGTTGAATACACAGAGCAACCACTCACCTCTTATTTCTCACACAGAAATATGACTCAGACCAGTCTCTGTAACACAGGTTTCTGCAGTGCATGTAAAGACCACCTATGGTTTCCTGCCGTAGTCTGATTTCCTATAGTGTGTGCCGGTGAACTCAGCGAGTGTCTGATTTGAAGTCCTGCTGTTTCAGATGGTGCATATCTTTGCCAGTGAGACAGACCACTTCCCACCCATCAAGGCTCTGTTTGAACTGGTTACCTCGGTAACGCTGTCCATCTTCCAGCAAGGTAGGGGGTCCAGCAGGGGCGGGAGTGTGAAAACTGTCAAATGTATTGAAATCTGTGGTACCTTTTTAAATTCTGGTCATATTTGACATTACAGCATCCAACACATTTGTAAACAATTATAAACAGATTGCTTAAAATCAGTTGTTTATTATGACGATATACTCACATTTGTTTCTGCGATTGAAGACCGACACGATGATGCTTTTTCAGACACAGAATAGGATACAAAAGGTTGGAGGTCACTGGGCTACGTTGCCACAGTCGACCTTTAAATGTTTGCTCTCATTACTCAATAATGGAGGTTGTTCGTCTGCTTGATGTTTTTGAAGTATCAAAAGTCTCAACTGATCAATTTATCAATGCTGACTGTTCCGTTTCCACTGATAAGCATTGATTCAATCATTGTCAAGACTAATGTTTTCCATGTTTACCAGTCCAGTATTTGCTTATTTATTTATTTGGATTTACTGTTTCAGTGTTTAGGCTGCATGAACATGTCTTTCATTTTGTGAAATGTTGATCAGAAGCTTCTCAATGTGCGTGACCCCGGGGATAGTCTAGATCTTTACTTAACATAAAAGGGACATGAACGAGATGATAACATTTCATCCTCCAAAACTTGGGTTAGGATTCCAGCGCTGTCTGCCTCCCCCCTTTCCTTTGTGTTGTCCCCCCTTTCCTGCTTTGACTGGTTTAGTATTGGCTGCCTCTCCTCCTGCTTCTTAACTTTTCCTTTTTTGAGCAGGTGCCTCTCAGTAGACAGTATCAGGGCAGGAGACATTCACAGCACAGAGACCACTAGCTTATTCAGTTGGCTGACATACACTATAACATGGCAGTGCCGGCCAATTTGCTCTGTTTGATCAGGGGTGGTAGTCACTCCAACATTAATCTTAGAGGGATAGTTCATCCCAAAATAAAAAAATACATTATTCTTACCTGTTTCCCTCTAGATTGTTTTGGTGTGAGGTCCAGAGTATTGGACATATCGGCTGGAGAGATTTCGGACTTCTCTCAAATATAATGTAACTAGATGTAACTTGATGGTACGAAAGGTGTCAAAAAGAGATTGGTAAAACTGAACAGCAATTATTATTGTTATGATTATTATTATTATGATTATTACTCAAGATGACTTTGTGTAGTTTCATGTAGGCACTATTTTCTTTCTATAGAACTACATCCTGCTGGGTGTAGCCGAGTGCCATCTGGTTCCCTTATATTAGAGAAAAGGCAGACATTTCTTTAGCCAACATCTCATACCAAAAGTTCTAGATGTCTCTTGATATATTGCACTTCATGTCCCAGGAAAAAATATAGATTTTTGATTTAGGGGTGAACGATCTCATGTAAGGCGTCTGAGAAAAAAAACAATGTTTGAAAGTCAGGAATCTCAAATGTCCAGAAGCTTCTTCAGGAAATGTGTGTTGTAACTGTGCATCATTCTGCAACACTTTAAAAAGTCTTGTAGTCTGTGTCCAGCACAAGGGGGGGAGGTACTGATATCAGAACATATCCTGATCTTTGAGTGTGATACAGATGGCTATGGGCTCACCTTTGAAGCAAAGGGGCTCTGACTGACCAGCTCTGAATGGACCCTCGACAGAAACCTCCACCCCAGAGGCACCGTCTGAGAGGAAATGTGTTTCTTCTTGTCTGATCACATTGATGCCAGCGGTGCCTCTGGGGAAGGAGCTGGGGGGGGTTCATTCAGGTGTGGTGCCTCTTTCCCTCCAAACTGTAACAGTAACAGAGGTGCCTCCTGGGTTCCCACTCCAAACCCACTTTTGTTTCTTTTAGGTTTTTTTATTTTTCTCTTGTTACTTCTTTCTTTCTCTCCAAACAGACCCATGTCTTTGTCTTCTGCCTGTTTTCTGTTTTTGGTTGGTCTGTTTTACCAAGTCTCTGCCAAAGCTTCATATGCCCCCCCCTCCC